TAAAGATGATATTTGGTACTTCTGGGCACTTTTAAAGTGTATTAGTCAATAAAAACATTGAAAAACAATCAAAATTTTTTTTAAATTTTGGGGGTGTCAAAGGGGGGAGGGGTGCCAGAGGGGGAGGTGGGGCTGGGGTGCCAGAGGGGGAGCAAGTGTTTGTCCCCCATATCAAAATTTACAATATCAAGGTGCTAATCGATGAAGTTTGGGCACTTTAAAAGTGTCTGTGCCTAAAAGTGCCTATTTCCCAAGAAAATTTTACAATTTTAAGATGCTATTTGGTGCTTTCTGGGCACTTTCAAAGGGTATGAGTCAATAAAAAATTTGAAATTTTTTTTTGGGGTGTTAAGGGGGGGGGCTGCCAGAGGGGGAGGTGGAGTGGGGATGCCAGAGGACGAGTAAGTGTTAGTCTTCCAGAATCATTAACTTTATCAAGGAGCTATTTGATGATGTCTGGGCAATTTAAAAGTGTCTGAGACAAAACACTAAAATAAATTTAGAACTTTCCATTGTTTTGTTTGGGGTGTGAGGGGTGGCCCACTCCCCCTAGAAAATGTTACAATTTTACGACGCTTTTTGGTGCTTTCTGGGCACTTTCAAAGTGTATGAGTCAATTAAAGAATTTGAGAAAATCACAATTTTTTTGGGGGGGGGGGTCAAGGGGGGGGGGCGCCAGAGGGGGGGGGGCGCCAGAGTGGGGGGGCTATGCAAGTGCAAGATGCAAGAGGGGGAGCAAGTCCCCCAGAAACACTAACTATATCAAGGAGCTATTTGATGATGTCTGGGCACTTTAAAAGTGTCTGAGACAAAACACTAAAATAAATTTAGAACTTTCCATTGTTTTGTGGGGGGTGTGAGGGGTGGCCAATACCCCTAGAAAATTTTACAATTTTAAGATGCTATTTGGTGCTTTCTGGGTACTTTCAAAGTGTATGAGTCAATGAAAAAAAAATTACAAAAAAAATATTTTTCAAAAAAAACATTTTTTTCAAATTTTTTTTGTGGGGTGACAAAGGGGGGTGCGGTCGCACCCATCGCACCCCCCCCCCCCCATCTGACGGCCCTGTATTCCATCAAACACAATATTTCACACTGGTCTTAAGGAGAATACTATGGCTGATTTTGATCCATATTTCTCAACCATTAGTGCCATATCCGAATCCACCTTAAAATGTGCCTTGTGAAAATAGTGTGAGTCTGGTGCAAATTTTAAAAAATCTAACAATTACATCCAAAGCCTACAAAGTGTTTCTTAAGTTTTATTCTTGTTTGGCCTTCTTTGGCCTAAGAGTTTACTACATTATGTCTAAAATCTAAATATTTTTGGCATGCCCTGTTATATCTAATAAGCTAGGATACAACAACAAAAAACATATACTGGATTCAATGGAATATTGGTATCCAAATGTGGAAAATTCACATTATCAAAATTAAAATCATCTCTTAAAAACTTTAATGCTGTTCCTTTTTTGTTCAATATTTTAAAATAGAAAGAGTGTTCATAAAAAGATGTCAGTACAGTCAAATGGTCTGTCTATTGATAATATTTTAATTATTTTTCACATCTTCCAAGGAGGATTGGCTCCCAGGATCGGCTATCGATATTTTCCAACAATGAAAACGTCGAAATGTCGTTATTTTCTGAAATTATTACCGAAGATAAATTTAAAATAAACAGTCCAAAAAATTCGAACCAATATATCGATCATTTCTTGTGAGTTTTGGAATTTTTCATTTAGGAATAAGACCAAAATTCACGATTCAAATGCTGAAGTGAACAAAATGGTGGCTGTTTGAATTCAAATTTTGAATCACGACATTTCCATATATGGGACAGAATATCGATGTTGCACTCTGGGAGCCAATCCTCCTTGACATCTTCTAAATAGACTAACAACTTGACTGCCATCTTTACATTGGCAAGAAATGTATGACAATAAAATGGTAAAATATATACATGTATGCCACTTTGATGCATCAAAACAAAACAAAATGATACAAGCATCATTTGAACATGTCATAGTGATGGTTACAAGTGAGTAACCAGCAATTATCAAGGGCATTGTAATCTTTTGGGTTTGCATCACTGCGAGAGAAGCTAGCACCAAAAACGGGTGGACGGGGTACACCTCAGGAAATATTTTCAAACTATGATTTGTTACTAGCTTTTCAACAAATTTTTTTGTTGGTTGGGGGGGTTATGAATATTTTATTCAAAATGATTTTTGACAAAATGATTGTGCAATTAAGCTACTTGAATTTCACATTGTTTAGATAGATGTTCAATGGAGGTTTAGAATTTGGTAATAGTGTTTTACTTTTTCCCAAACATAATTTTCTGAAATCCTAGCAGGCAACAAAAGATATCAACTTTTAAATATACATGTCAGCTTTTACTACTCATATGAAACAGATTTTCCCCCAAAACACTTTGGGGTATCAAATTTTTTGAATCAATTACCATATTTTTAGCTATGGCCTTGACCATGAAGTACAATGAATATACAAAATACAAATTATACTTATACAATAGATTTATTTTATACAAATATTTCAATAAATTTTACAATATTTAACTGTACATCATTTTTGTGTTCTTTATACTTATAATAATAATATAAATTATAGATCATAACTTCCATTGATTCGCAGTACTCCTGAATATGTGGTCATGTGACAAATTGCCATGACAATATGATTAAAAGCAAAAGAAATAATCTGATCTGATCGATATGTAAAATATTATATGTGTCAGTGTTTAAGTGTGCGGTTTTACAGTGCATACTGAGATGCAACTGTACTTTCCAAACACATGCATAATCATCAAATCATCATATTCATTTTCCCAAAGCCTGAATGCTGCAGTAGACAAACTTAAAATACCTACAGTGTATTTGTTTTGAGTACAAAAGGTCACTGTCATGGAATAATTTTTAGTAAACTTGGCAAGAACATGTGTGTTTTACTGTCAGGATGTTTTGTTAATGAACCTATGCAGCATATGAATCGACCAAAGAAAACGAAGTGTCAGAGTAGAGGCAGAAAATTTCCCTGAAGATCCTGAGAGCTCATTGCAAGAAGCTTTGTTTACTTTTACTTAAAACTCAAGTCTATTAATTGTACTCTTACTATGATGTCATAATATCCATGTTTGTAATAATTGATTTTGGAATCGTAAAACAAAAATGTCTAGTAGTGAGCCACTGGTCCTGACTATATGTGATAAAAGAGGAGATGTATGGCAAAGGTTCTCACATAAAGGTATAGCCACTAGACTATAAATTTCAATAGAGTCTATTTGCTACTAAATCAGTCTCATAGTGAATACATTACAACTTAGATCTTTATCTCTGAATATTTAAACTTATCTAGTTTCCTAATAATTTATAATCTCTTTTTAAATGAAAAGATATTTGCAGGTTGATAATTTCAGATGCCAGGTTGGAGTAAAATAAATATCAAAATCAATTACCAATTACATGAATTACATTTCTATGGCTTAGCTCAAACGTCAATGTGTACATGTGACTGTATTTTCATCTAGGTTTGCCATATCACACAATTCTGTTTTCTTATTCATGAACATTTTTATCATATTGTCTGTGCTTTATATCCAATTTAAGTTAAATACAACTCTTCACCATTTAAAAATGTTAAAAATACAACATTACCTTTTGAAGAACTTAGTGATCAAAAATACAGAATGATTTTTCTTATTTTAAAAACATTTAGTCAGGCTAGCTCACAGTGTCAACAGATGCATGAAAGTTTGTATGACAATCAGCCATATATCTTTGTGTATCTGTGTATCAGACTGTATTGGCAACAGTATTTATTTCATATTACTGCTTATTTACTTATCTGAGTTCTCATACATTTATTTAAATAATGAATATTAAAAATATAAATATATATAATCTGTCATATAGGACTTCCAATATGCACATAATTTAATAACAATCACCTTACAATGTACAAATACCACAACTGTTTTTTTCTACACCACCTTGAGTGTAGTCTACATATATAACATAGCATTTGCCGAGGGGGGAGGTAGTTTTTAAAAATTCAAGGGGGACTCAATATTGATAATTTTGAATAATTTTGAATTTCAATACTGGTATTGAAAAACTGCTTGATTTTGAAAGATTTTTTGTCCATGGGGGCTCAAATCCCCTGAATCCCCACCCCTGAATCCCCACCCCCTGGCTACAGACGTACATGCGTCGGATAAATACTTATTTAGAACAGTACTATACATATGACAAAGGCATATTTAGTACAGTACAATACATTAGACAATGTAGGCATATGTTCAAGGTGATATAGTATTATGTACATTACACATGTACAATAAAAGTAAAATCTGACTTTCTCACAATTCTCTGAAGCTGCATAAGAAACACATTCAGTTCCAAGGGTCTTGATTCATATATCTAGCAAGAGGTTTGAATATTTGTTAACACTTAAGCCAATTATGGCACTTTTTCCATGTTGTTAATAACTCAGGTGTTTGATTTAAGTAACAGTTGTTGCTCTCTTAACTAACAAAGATGAGTCTACATTTTTCTGTACCTATTTTCAGCCATGTTCATGAATCTAATTTCAGTTCACAGCTTCAGACATGAACTATAGAGATCAATTTATATTTCTTAATAAATCATATGTATCACAGAGTCGTAACCAAGATTTGAAAACAACAATGACGGCATTGTACATTGTAATAATCATATGGACACCTGTGTATAATAATAGTACTAGCAGATAAGTATTATCTTAAGTTTCACAGAATCTCTGTTTTTTTTCATACACATGTTACATGAAGTGATTAAAGTTGCACTTAGCTAAAATCAACTGTTCACTCATGCAGTTAAAGATAAAAAATGTGCACATCTGTATGATTGGATGAATCTTTACTGCATCTGTGTGTGTTAAATGGCCATTTGAACACATCTGTGCTTTACGGGCATTTAATACAACTTATCTACACTCAATGAACTGGACATATATTGTTGCAGATGTTGACTTCTTGGCAGCTTTCTCTTTCATCCAATGACCCAGGCTCTGTCAATGTCGTCTGCTGGATCCTATTGCACTGCCATCTTTAAAAGGGCACAAGAACTAGAATTACATTTGGCTCCCTCTATGTTAACGATCCTGGACTAGGACTCCCATATCCACTAGACATATCATCACTCAGACACTGGGCTTGCCTCTTAATCTGGGCCAAGGCATTATAGTTATATGACATACTGGCGAATACCATCCGTTCCTCATAGTCATATTCACATAATATTTTATTGTCACACAAATAAAATTTATCGCCAACACAAAACCTGGAAACAGAAATAGAAAACATTTTTATTTTATTAAAAATTATCTGGAGTGAACAGATTACAAACGATAGTCTAACGTGTCAGTGTATTTGGACATAGATATTATTCGAAACAATCCTTTGTGGAAGAGTCTATAAGTGTTGTTCAGTGTAGCTTGTATGATGCTGATAAAGAAATATCAAATCAAATCCTTTCATTGATTCAATTTTTGGGTTTTATGATAACAATTTCAAGAAACGTTTGAGGTTTTACCATATATAAAATATAAAACTTGCATAGCACATAGTTGAAATAATAACAAGATTGGTCATTGCGAATATTATTTTACACTTCAAAAGTTAATTAACAGTAACATAGCTTTTCACAGTTAGCATTAGTCACGCTTAAATGCCCGTAATAATACCGTAAAGATCGCAAAATGTCCCTATTCCCTTTGGTGGTAATCGCCCATTAACGTTCATATCTCATTAATTTTGCTGGATTCTCACTGACGTTTATGAGGTTGTCTAATAATGTAAATTAAAGTGAGTACAGAGTTTTAATTTCATGCATTAAGTAATATTACTATTGTTCAGTTCAACTGGTGATGAGCACTGACGTTTATGACAAAAACACACGGCTTTTTGTAGCTAAATTACCCGATAAAAAGTCGTAAATGCCCTGACCTGCGTGTTTGATAGAACTGAAGCAGAGAATTTGTCAGTTTAGATCAAGAACTAGGCTGTAATTATTGCCTTTTAGAGTGTTCTGAAGAAATACACAATACTTGAGATCCCTTACCCTTGCTCAATACCCATGTCCTAAGAGCGCCATTTATTCAAAATAACTGTTATTGTACTTCAATGAAATCATGCTAAATGATGTATTAAATATTGCTCTGAATTTAAAAAACATGAAGATAACCAATAAAGGAACTGCAAAAGAAAGAATTTCTGGTTTCATTTATATGTTTCAGGGAGTATTTCTCGTATATTACGTACTTAGAGAGACACTTATATTGACTGAAGAGCTGTACTTCACTCCCGTAAGTATTATTGCTTTTTATACCTCCTTAGCCTCGTCAAGTGCCTAACACTCGCAATATATTGACAACTTTTCTCTTTACATTTGTCATTTCAGTTCCAAGATTTCTACTTCTTAAAATGCTTCTTGTTTTTAACATGATTGAGAAAAATTAATTTGACATCAATTAGTAATTATATTTTATTTGGAAAATGCCATAACGTTTCAAAGTTGTCATATTTCGAAATGGAAATCTATGTCAAATGTTTGAGCAAGAAACAGGTGGAACACAAAAATTATATAGAAAATCATGCCACAATTTCCAACAATTATGCAACTTTGGTATTAAAAATAAAATAGATTTAAAAAAAAAATTCGCCACAAATTGAATTGAATTGACGTGACTTACCTGTGGCGTGATAACGTGGCTAATAATGCTAAAAGCACAGCCACTTACACTGTATTATTGTATTGTATTCTTTGTACAAATGAATAACTTAATAAAAAAATTAAAAAAAACGTCGCCACAAATTGAATTGAATTGACGTGACTTTTACCTGTGATTACACTGTTGACAGGCAAAGCATTCCAGGTGGTACACATTCCCTTTGGCCCTCATTACCATTTCAAATGCTGGAATCATCTTGTTACATGCTGAACAATAGCCAGTTGATCCAAATAATCTGAAAGTACAAGTTTCTTCATAAGGGACAGACTCCATGATATTCACAATAAGGAAATCCTTTATGCATGGTTGTCCCCAGGGGGGGGTGCATTGGGTGTGACTACACCCCTGTTTTGAGCCAATTCCTGGGATTTTGTTAATGGTGCTAAGAAAGAGAGGAAAGAAGAACTATGGGCTCTGGCGAATGAGGTAGAGAGGTTTTCAAGTGCAAACCTTTCTTTGTATTGAGGTAAACACCATTGTAAGACCAGAACAACGGCAACGCCAAAGCGTAGCGAATCCCATCGAACAGAAATGGCTGGCATTTTTACAAACGAATAGCAAATATCATAAAACAACACACCAGAAAGGCCACCATTTTCAAAATGGTTGCTCACTAGCAAAGTTGTCATCAGAAGAAATAATATGCTTTTAAGTAGCCACCTCTAAAATTTTTGAAAAATCGCACACGAACTTGTAAAATAACACACATAAAACTGGTGGCCATTTTTCAAAATGGCCGACTACTCCAAAAAGTTTTATTAGACAATGTGCCATGCTTAAAGTATTCACATATCAAATATGAACAAAATCGCTCCACTTCTTTTCGAGTTATAGTAAAATACGTTAAAATGGCGGCCATTTTTCAAAATTGTTTTCAAAATGGCCGCCTTCTACCAAAAGTGTCATAGGACAGTGTGCCATGCTTATAGTATTCACATACCAAATATGAACAAAATCGCTCCACTACTTTTCGAGTTAGTATAATATGTTAAAATGGCGGCCATTTTTCAAAATGGCCACCTTCTACTAAAAGTGTCTTTAGACAGTGTGCAATGCTTATAGTATTCACATACCAAATATGAACAAAATCGCTCCACTATTTTTTGAGTTATAGCAAAAATCGTAAAATGACGAGTAAAGGCCGCCATTTTTCAAGATGGCTGCCATGTGCTTCTTTAATATCTACATTTGTAGCATTATTAATGTCCTTTATAATTTTTTTACATTTAAAACATATTGCTATTACAGTTTTACATATTACACCTAAATTACTGTAAAATCGGCACTAAAATGGCCGCCATTTTGAAATGAGCGGCCATTTTGAAAATCGGCTCTCGAGCAGAACTTCTACCCCCATAGGGTATATGTGTACAAAATATGAACAAAATCGGGCCAACGGTATTTGAGTTATTGCCCGGACGGACGGACGGACGGACAGACGGACGGACGGACGGACGGACGGACGGACGTACGTACAGACGTACGTACGGACGGACGGACGGACGGAGGCGTTCCCTATATCCCTCCGAACTTTGTTCGATGGGATAATAAACACCTTTCTACAAGGTAAACCCCTTTGTAATTCAAGCAATAGAAATCTGTTAAAATTGGTAGATAAAACACCTCTAATTCAGGTCACGTACATGTAAGTCGAATCACAATTTATCAAAATCTGTACTGCTGGCAACAAACACCAAGTTGCGGTTTAATGACCACTGAAGTAAAGCAATGCTTCGATGGTTGTCATTTCAAAATTGTCACTTGATATCAATCCAAATTTTCACAATCAATTCCGAGAAGCTTACATTATGGTATTAAAAAAAAGATCTATCACAAGTTTACAATTCAACACCACATTATGGATTTATCCGATATGGCCCATAATCACCTGATTAAAATTTCACACCTTAAAGCTCGCTTGTGACAATCCCCGGCAGCTCATTTATTTACCCAGGATTCTTAGCTATTCATTTCCGGGTGTTTAATTTCCGTATCATTCTTTTCAACACATTTAAAGACACTTGGTGATTGATCGTACAGCTATCTCTTATTCATCTAAGAAACAATAAATAATGCTGAATGCAATCAGAAATGACAGCCTGTCTTTTCCTAACAGCCATTTGCCAGTTTTAAGCTCCTATTGCCATATATTTCAATGTCCTGTGTCATTCATAATTCTTAGTTATAGTCATTTTCACTGATATGATATTCATGTAACAAACATAACAGGTACATGATGTAAGCCTGAGATCAATCTTTAAAAGATATCTGAAATATAACACAAGCACTGCAATGAATGTCTATACATGTATGTGTAAATTCAGTTTACCAATATTTAATTAAATTGTTTCACCATTTTGCCAATTTGAATGATTTTGCCATTTTACTTATTTTGCTATTTCCAATTATTTTGCCAATTTAATTACTTGATGCTCCATTTACATTGAATTCCTTTATAAAAATCCTTTGATTTCCTTTTGATAGATGCTGATAGATGAATTCCATGATGTATAGCATTCAATGACAAACAAAGATGTTCCTATTAGACCAGTAATCTGCCTCGTTAATAAGATCAAAGGAAATACCTTCAAGTGAAAAATAAATGAAAAGTGCAAATTGATTTCATCATGAATAAATAAATAAGTCTTGTGCCTTGATAACACACTCATCAATACAAAGACGTCTTTCTAACCACGCAATTTTGCATATTTTCTCCCAAAGAAGGAGTGTCTGATTTTTTGGTAATCTATAAAATACGGACGAAGAATTTAACATGTTTTACTCAGTTTTTTTGCTTATTCGTCTCTATTTTACTATATTTCCAGTTTAAAAATATGCCCACTGTGATATTTTATTCAATGGCAAGTCTCAAATTGGATGTAAATGATTCCTTTCAAACATTAATCAGTGGGAGAAAAAAGACAAACATGGAATTGTATTAGGAGATCAAAATCGTGTGATTTTCTAAATTTCATTAGAATCATGGTGATCATGGCAAGATAATCGGCGTATTAATCAAAATGGGGATTTTTCAAAGATTTCTCTGGCTACTAACATGGAGTAATATCGTGTTACCCTCGGGAGGATAATTAAAACGTCTAAAAGTTGTATTTTCAAATTAAAGTCGTTTATTTATGACGCTGGATGATCACAATGATAAAACATTGGACACTATTACAGGGGTCCTATATACTGCTAATTAGTTTTGCGGAGGAATAATGCCTTTATCTATAGATTCTGTCAAGATTTTCAACGGAATCTGCACCGACGGTGATTTTTACAGCCTAATGGCTAATTTTGTTATGATTGCTCTGACAAAAATATTGTTATAGTTTGATGGATTGGAATGCTTAGAGACACCTTCTAATTTCCTAGGTAGTCACTCATTTTCCACCCTATGCACAAAAGATAATAAATATTTCATGTATCATATCTATCATATTATCGCAACATATATGTATTTTACCTTGTCAAATAAGGTCAACCGGAAACCACCCACTATTCTTACATATGATTCTTACAGTTTCAAATGAAATGCTAATTATTCTACAAAGATCTCCTACCTTTTCACAGTAGCATTGTTTTATTTAACGCTATGGTGTTAGCAACCGTGTAAACGCAATCAAGAAAAGGATTATACCGTTGCAATTAGACCTCTTTTGTGACGAGTTGTTTTATCTTTAAATTGGTTTTTGCAGATAAAGCTGATTTTTACGGAGACTTTGAATTATAGAACAGCACATTTTCCTGTCATTGCAAATCATAAACCATATTTTCCTAATTTCCTTTTTCAGTAAAAATAACACGGCGGTAATTATAAAATAACTTTTTTAATTTAGCTGACACACAAGAGTATAATAAATAACATAAATAATTGTAAACGAGATATAAATGAGATACCAGTAAATAGGAAAAATACATTATGTCATGTAGGTCCAGTTTTTATTTGAACCAAGAGAATTAAAGGGATACTGAAGTGGAGGGCATGGTGTCCTGGTGTAGGCGTGTAGCCTGGGAAGGCTGACGTATCCCCCCTGTCCCGATATGAAAAAATAAGTGAATTTTCACGATTATTAACATGTTTAACTATTTTTTGCAAAGCAATGACAAAACAAGCAATTTGTGATTTTATTTCAGCAAGACTTTGGCAAATTCATAATTATCATTTTTGAGAGAAAATTTTTTGAAGTCCTTCTGAAAATGTTGAAAGCATTTAAGAATCTGACCTGACTATGAAAAGGTCTAAGAAATGAGTATGGCAAGAAAATTTAAGCATGGCATCAGATAATATAATAATCTTAAGATGCAAAGTAATAGTTTTGAGATGCAATATAATAACCTTAAGATGCAAAGTAATAGTTTTGAGATGCAATGTAATAATCTTAAGATGATAATAATCTTAAGATGCAAAGTAATAATCTTGAGATGCAATATAATAATATTGAGATGCAAAGTAATAATCTTAAGATGTACAAGAAGTAAACTTTCCATCAAAAATATGAAATAAAGCAAGTTTAAAATCATACCTTAAATAATCTCTTCTACAAAGCATTAGATTAGCTTTTGTGAATAACGTAGATCCCACTTCTCCGAGTCGACAGTCGCAACATGAACATTTGAGGCAATCTTCGTGCCAGTATTCGTCCATTGTCTTCAACAAGTAGCGATCATGGATCTTCTTCTTGCAACCACAGCATTCATGCACTGTATGGCAACTCTCTTGGCTGATGGCCATTTCTCCTGCAAAAACACAGAATAGAATCTTTATATGGTGTGTCATGTTGTGTTTGTGATGAAATCATTATGTGGTGTGTCATAAAATAAGCCAGTGCAACCAATTCCAGTTTATCTTAATAGGTCCATTGAACAATCCAACATAGTACATTGCATTGATGCAATTATTTTTACCGATGCAACAAATACATGTTATATATAAGCTATCAGTACTTCATATCTATAAACATCATACAACTGAGTGTGAATATCAAAACCAAACGTCGAAAGAGTTGTAACCTAGCCCTACAAATTATTGTTCTTTGTCTGCCAACCAACATTTAAAGCAACAATATAATGTAACATTTATATAAATGCAAATCAATTTTGATAATATTGACAAGGTATCAACAAATATGTTTAATTATAAAACATAATTACATTTAAAAAATAAATTAAACATATTGGTGGCTATAATCAATCTTCTATTACACAAAATGATTTCACCAAATCAACTACAGTACTTTCATCATCTATTATTTTGATCAACTTCCCACGATCAATAGCTTCAGTTATATCACACAAATCCCTTCAATTAATTGAAATACAAAATGCCAGCATGACCATGCTTTCAGTTAAATATGTAACACATAAAAGTATACAAAAATATCAGACTATAAGAGGAGATACTTTATTGCGGTGTGAAGTCTAATATTTATTCTTAAAACTGTCTGCCAAATCTTCAAAATTCCTAACAAAGGCAAATAGATTTGACTGTGTGTTAGTTGGCTAGGCTTTAAGAGTTTGACAGGCTTTAAGAGTTTAATAGGCTTTAAGAGTTTAACAAGCTTAAGTGAGGAATAGCATACATGTGTATTTTACCATTTGATGAATAACTGAATATGTTACATGAACCATTTACATGATAGGATATCACAATGAAAACCTAACTTTTGTATTTAATAAACATAATTCAAACAAACATAATAATCTTCTTAATGACAGATATTACTTGTATGTACATATGTTTTAAATCAATGATTTTATTATATATTGACTCGAATCTCAATTGGAATATAATTGATGCATTAGTATCGATTTACGCAATCTAAAAATTCACAGTGATTTACAATTCGATTTACAATTTTAATTTGATGAAATGATCAACAAGGCAAGCACAATTATCATGATTCTCCTACATCAAAAATCTGTCAAAATAACAAATTGAGAGCATTTATATATTTCAAAAAACCCTTCATCATATATACAATCAAGCAAACTTGTTCATTAATTCATTTTTTGTTTTGATCAATGGAAACTGATTTATTGTTATTTCATCATTAATTAAATTCACTTTTTTTAATTAATGCAGTTTGTAAGTATCTGTTTGTTGGATAAAATAATTTTTCAAGTTTATAATATCGCTTTCAATTTCAATAATGAATGAACATTTGTGTAAATAAAAAAGGTTTTGCAATTAACAGGATTAAATTTAAGACAATAACTAGTATATGTAAAACCTTGTAAAAGTCTAATTAACAGTGTAAGTGACATGTAAGTACATGAACAGACAGACTGACTGCCTCAACTGACATTTTATACTTTTTAATCCTGTGTGACACCAGTCTCAGACAACATTGTTTAGATTATTAATCAAATCATATTAAAAAATCAAATTTTATTTTAAAATGTAGGCCCTTAATGTTAAAAAATCAAATTTTATTTTAAAATGTAGGCCCTTAATATTAAAAAAATCAAATTTTATTTTAAAATGTAGGCCCTTTAAATGCTCTCATATGGTGTCCTAAGTTTACATTTTTATTCAATTTCAGTAGATTGAAACATTTTATAAATGAACAGAACCATGTTTTATCATTAACAAGATTATTAAACACAAAAAAAGCGTTACTTACGTTAGCATTCACTTTGTACCACTTATGATAACACAAAAATAATGTCTTTACCTGTGCGTGTCAATGACTTACAACTTTAGGCTGTTAGAAACCTCAAAGCTATTTGAACTTCTCCTTTTCTTAATTAAAAACTGCACTAAGCTATGGTCCCAACTCGTTTGTTATGAGGTGACTACTCAGATAGTCAATTAATGTATTTACCTATATTTCACGATTAAGACATTTACTTTACACACGCTTTGGAATTAGAAATGACTAAAAGTTGATACAAGCTATCAATACCTGTAACCAAAGTATCTCAACTCTCCTACCTTTTTGCATTGTTTCTCATACGATTTTGAAGGAAATGTTTATTTTTTGAATTTCCATTCAAATTAGCATTTTGAATTCATTCCTTAGGCAAAAATTCCTTGTAATTTTCCCTCCTTTTAATGTTATTTCACCGATATATATACAAGACTTCCTAATATTTTGTTCCCCGACAGGGCTTGATAAACCAATCAAATATATTGACACAATCGTGAATTTAATAAGATAGTGTTATTTTTCAAGATGCTTTATAAAATTTATTTATTTGTACATCTCCATAATGCCACGATTTGTGTGCCAGACAGATGTCTTCAGTCGATCAACATTGGATTTTAGCTCAATTCAGTGTAATTTAATGTTGTTTGATAGAGCTCTTTATCTGTTTGTATCATAAATTATCATTTACTAATCACATGAGGAGTAAAAGTAGGCTAACGATATAGATTCTGTTTAAATTATGACCTGCAATAAATTTTTTTTTTAATAAACAAATAATAGTGTGTACTTTGATTTGTAGGTGTATTTTACAAATTATAATGATTCTGGGATAAACAAACCAGCAAGCAAGATGATTGACAGTTGTAGACACTCAAAAGCCTATTCTGAAACGTCACTTCAAAGTACCGTAATTGGAGCGACATTAACAGGATTCTTTTCAGTTATGTTACTGTCAACTTCCATGATCTACCCCACCTTGACCTGACTCCCTGTACCTCCAGCCTTACCCCCTACTAACCTTGACTTGAAGCAATACTAGATGCAGGACTATAACTTCTACTTGAATTCAATCTCTTTACTTTTGGGCTACGACGTTTTCTCACTTTTGGTTTTGGCACACTCGTGTCAATAGTTTTCATAATTGCATCGTATGTCGGGTACATGCCCTGCTCTGTCCTTAGTGTGAATAAGTCTCCGCAATATGGGTTCCTCTCTCTCTTTACTTCTACTAACATCTTCAGTACTTAGATCTCTCCTTTTCAAAATGTCCTTACTTTGTATCTAAATTATTTTTGAAAGAATTGAAATTAAATTATTCTTTTCAAATAACTATATACTAATTCTTCTATTTTTCAGCGTATTGTCCATTTCTTGAATTTTGTAGTTTTTTTCAAGTGCTCCAATCTCTCTTATTACTGACTGCCTCTAAGGGTAGCTGTATCATAAATGATTTTTTGAGAATCACTTTTTGATTTAAATAAGGTGATGAGTGCAGGTTCCCATGTGATTGCATAAATGTTGATGATATCACTGTGTGAATCACATTTACAACTGATTACAGTTTAATGACTATATTGATAACGTTTATAAAACTGACCAATCAGAATATTTCCCAAAATACGTTTAAATTGAGAACATATCATCCCATGATGCAAGCTGATACACATGAGTTCTCTGATTGGTTAAAATTCGACATATGTTGTGATCCATCTGGGATTGGAATAAATAGTGTATATTTATTTTTTATTGTGTAAATGAATTTATTCTGACACCTAATGACAATAATTCTCTAGATTTTATTCCAAGATTATTGGTTCATATATCCCATTCAACTTAATATCCCATTTTACATCTATTTATTTTTCTTTTCTAAATATTGATTGAGGTAGGGATCTCGAGCTAATGGCGCTTTTATTGCTTATCAACTCAATTCTTATATTTTAATAGGACTTTACAATCTCTTTATTGTTTCATTATGTCTTTTGGACTCATCAAAGAATACTTAGCATTCAATCATTATACTTGTTTGTAACAAACAATTAAGGATGAAAACTAATATCATAAAAACATATTTTTTACTGAATGAATGATTTAATTTACTTTAATCTGCTTAGTGTGACAGCTTGCCTAGTGAAAAGAAATTCATCTGCAACTTTAATTTCAATCCACTTTATAATTGTCTCAAAAATAGTTTTTGAATCGTTGATCTAAGTTTGATACTCTATTAAAGGAAAAAACATTTAAGTAATTAAGTTAAGAACTAAAAGTAGACTTCAATAACAAGTCAAGTTCCCATGAAATAAACTGATTGGCAGAAATTTATTAAAATCTGTTTAGTTTCATCTAATCGGTCAGTGTTGAACCTGATGAACCTGGCGGATGTCACATGGATACATTCAACCTAATTTCAAATACAATATTAGATGATTTAAAGATTTTATTAAAATTGAATGGTTTCTAATGCAGGTGAGTTGTCCTGTGCTGTTCCCTGCCTTACACGAGGTTACATGACTACTATAATCTTCCATAGACATCATAGCGGATGTATTAGCCACTTCCTTTAACATAGAGATGAGTGATATTGTAAAAGGCAGTTACATTATATGTTAAGATTTGATCGTTTTTTCAATTTGGACAACCTTAATTATCATGTTATCGCTAACCACAAATCGAATGATGATATATGATTTAATCAATAAACAGTAAGGTGTTTCAATGATTTTCATATGAAATAGAACAAAACTTAGGATCAAAAAGACATAAAATAGATAAAATAAACATTCAGAATCATAATAAGTCCGAAATTCTAGAAGTCGAACTCTTATTGTGAACTTTGCGGGAATTTCCCAACTTTGCGGGAATTTCCTAACTTCACGAGAAATTATGCCAATTGACTTGTGTCTAATGAGAATGACATTTCATGCACAAAATGAACTGCTTGACCTTAAACTTAAAATGATTCTATTTCTGAATTTTTTCAAGATTCTTTCATGGGCTTTCAATAATTCTATTGAATGCCCATGATTCTTTCAAGGAAATTAAAAAATTAATTTCACTAAAATAATGGCAATAATTTGGGTAAACATTTAATTTGAACTGATCATGAAATATCAAAAGGCACCAAAATAACAGCTTGCTATTCTCTCTTATTTGATCATATTAAATACAACTGACCTGGTCATTTCATTTTTAATAGAACTTGATTAACGAGAGTTGAAAATTATAATTTATAACATATTTCAAACCAATTATAATCTGATGAAACAAAACAAAAAATTATTTCTAGTACCACATCTTTGCTTTTGATCAAAAAATTAAATTTGACCATAATTAATGATGAAATGGATACAAATAACAAATTATTTAGTAAAAAGTAGAAATATATTTTATTGAATGGTCAAAGGACGATTAAGATATCAAATATATACATGTCTCCTCTAACAATCAGATAGCCTACATTTACCAGGCAGAGCTACCTCAATGTAACCACAAAACAAGATAATCTGATCTCCTTTTAAAACACCATCATGGTCAAGTTTTAGAAATGTACAGCAGGAAAAGATTGATTATCAAAAATAACCTTAATTGAAATTTGTATCCTTAATATGTAAAAAAACGCAAGAAAATGAAGTGTTTATTTAGATTCTAACCAGAAAGTGAAAAATAATTAGCGTAATCAATGTGACATTTTCGGAAAAACAATCTTGTATACATACCCTATATCTAACATGCAGACTGATTAAATCTCTCTGAAATAATGTGCTCATCAAGAAAACTCCAAAGTAAATGTTATTTTAGTAATCATCAGTAAACTTGATATTTGATGCATACTGTAATTTATTTTCCCACATCCATTGTATTGGAATTGGATATATTTTAAAAATTGATTAGAAAAATCATGATAATATAGGAAAAATTTGACAAATACTGGATCCCTGACCCCACCCGAGAAAAAATCCTGGGTATAGGCTGCAAATATTCAGTAGCCTTAACTTAGGTTTATACAAGTAGACAACATAAGAAGTAAAACTAAAAAGAAGAAAAACTAAGAGTACGTGATATAATGTGTGATACAGGAGACAGGCTCGGTTGTCTTGTTCTAAGTGCACCTTGACTGATTGCTAACCTGATTCAATATGGTACTTCAATTTTTATTATGTTTTTAAGAAATTGCTCAAAGAGTATTAAATGGATTTTACTGGCTTTGCATAGAACAAACCATTAGCTAGATTGGTACAAATGAAAATTAGAACCCTCTTATAGAATGCAACAGTGTGGTTCACTGTACTTTTAATAACACTTTCTTAATATCAGGTATAACTAAAAGCAGATAAAGATTACATTGCATTTAATACATTTCTCCCAAGTTTATATTTTTCACCATTAAGTCCCATTTAAATAGTCCATTCAGTGAGACATATTTCACTCAGATTTATATTTCATGAGTTTGTCTAAAATTGTGAAAATATGTATCAAATTGGGAGCAAATTAAAAAAATAATTTTCTACAAAGATGTTTGATCATTTAAGCAAATTGTTATGTGTAGGGGGTTTACATAGTTAACTCCAGTTACATACCAGCAGATTGCAGCTTCTTTAAAATACATACATGCCACATTACTAATGAGCAGGTGTAATTAAAATCATTTTCTAAAGAAAACTGACACTATCTTAAATACGATCAAGTGCATTATATGTAAAGAAATTACAGTAAATAACACCTTGTCTCTGATAATAATAACAATAACATAAAGGGACCATATCAATAATACAAACCAATACAATATAATACAATACAATATACTACAATACAATACAATATAATACAAACCATATCAAACCAATACAATACAATACATACAATATAATACAAACCAAACCAATGCAATACATTACAACATTATACAAACCAAACCAATACAATGCAATGCATTACAATACATACAATATAATACAAGTCAAACAAATACAATGTAATGCATTACAATACATACAATATAATACAAACCAAACAAATACAATGCAATGCATTACAATACATACAATATAAAATAAAACAAACCAAATCAATATAATGCAATGAATTATAATACATACAATATAATACAAATCATACCAAACCAATACAATACAATACATACAATATAATACAAACCAAACCAAAACAATGCAATGCATTACAATACATGATACAGGATTTGTACCAGGTTCAGAGAGAGCATGTGATATTTTAAGGTAATACCCCGTATTTGCATTATCTCTCACAATATTAGCGAGATCAATAGTGCAAAAATAGTTCATTCATGGAACGAAGCGTGAAACTTTCCACATATCATCAGAATACCATTCCCTTTGATTTAAGAGCCAGAGCCATTTTTGTGGTCCACTAGAATGATCAAAAAATAGTAAGTACCCCCTCCCACCAAATCCCATGGGGGTGCGGAGATATCGAAATATTTTTTTCATAAAAAAATTTCTTTGAATATGGTCATACTACAGTTTTAGAGTGCTATTTTCATGGTAAAGAAATTTTGCAAACATAACAAGATGATTTATCATCGATTTTCATCATTGTTAAAGACTAATCATGAGCGACGCCCACTTTTCATACCTTGAACATTTAGGTTATCAAATCTCTATCATTGGTTGAACAAATGAATGTAATTCAGTTTTCTGGATAACACCAGATACCCTTTTGATGTAAGGTGCTATAATTGATCTTTGCATTTGACTTCTTAAAGGCTTAGACCATATCACACCCCTGTTTAGAAGAAGAAAGCAAGCAACAAATGTCCCAGATCTACAACATGTATCCACTATTCTATGTACATGTATGTCGAGTCTCTATACTCTCCTGAAGAGAACCTATGCTATAGACACAACTGTCCAGAATTTAGATGATGATGTGCTTAAACAGTTTGATGAATGGTGTGCTGACCAAGTGCCTAAACTCCTTGATGAATGCTGTGCTGACCAACAGAATGTACCAGTCTTCAAGCTTTGGTTTCTGATTATTCAAATTGAAATACTGTGCCTTGACTATGTGAGGGCTATAGGGCAGGAGAATTTTCCTCTTTATTTCCAGATGGTTTCTCTTTAATTTTCATAGTTGTTAAAGACTAGTCATGGGCGACGCCCACTTTTTATATGCTGAACATTTAGGCTATTAAACTTCTTTCATGAGTTGAACCAGAACCAGAAGGGCCGCCACAGTTACAGCCTGCAGTCTCTAAATT